CCACCACACAGAAAGGACATGTCACCAACACTGGTCACATGCAGGGTCCCGCCTGCAGAGGTGACAAACCACAGCCACCCTTGGGATGACACACAGAGAGGGTGAGCACGGAATGATGCATCCACAGAGCAGCCTCAGCCTCTGCTGGCTTGTGGCTCAAGCCACAGCTCCTGCCTCCATTTACTGCCTGGTTTGTCCCTTCAAATCCCTGCAGACAGTTTGTCCCCACAGCCACAAAATCTCCTCCTGTAGCCTTGAGGCTTCTGCTCCTGATGTCCCACCATGCTCCCAACGGGAAGGAGCAGGGTCTTTTCTGCACTGATTTAACAGCAAGCCACAGCAGCCATGTGCATGCCAGTGGCACAAAGTGAAAGGATACTAGTGTGTGTGTGTGTGGGGGGGGGGAAAAGCCTCCATTCCAGCAGCTAAAAAGCCCTATAAAACCCTAAAGTATCTCCAGAACCCACACGAGTGCAGAGAGCGAGGCTGTCAGCTGCTGAGGCAGAGAATGTCCTGGCAACGTGGTGGTGAAAAGATTTAGGAAAACACCAGTGCACTTCAAGGGAAGATAAATGTCTGTGGACACATTCGCTGCCGGCACAGGCTGCAGCTCACTGTGGCTCGATGCATCACTTTCTGCAGGAGGAGCTGGACAGCAGTGCTCCAGAGACAAACCAGATGTGCAAGCCCAGGCAGGCTGCAGATCAGGAAGGCTGCTGTGGTTGTCTCCATCCATCCAGGGAGAGTTTGCTGCCACCTTAGGGTCTGTCAGCACAGCTGAGGAGCTCGATCCCAGCTCCTGGGAGTGCAACAGACTGGTTTGCTTGGCTGTCCATGCAGTCTCATGGTGAAGAGCACAATTCTCTTCTGGCTAAGGCTTCCAGCAGAAAACCTGGTGGCTAAGGCCATACTTCAATAAAAGTTACAATGGTTCAGTTTCACAGATGGGACTTGCTGGAGGATGAGTCTCCTGCTGCCAATAGGAATTTGCAGACAAAAAAGAGAGACAGAATTGCACTGCATGGAGAACAGTTGCTTTGAAGATAGGCAATGCTGTTGTCACATCTTGTCTCCTCCAGACAGTGGCACCACTCCATGAATTTGAACACCCACCAGCAAAAGGATGGGTAGAGGTCTTCACATGGAGGACAAGGTGACCCCAGGTCCTTGTGACCTCAGTGCTGTCTCTGTCTGCATCAGAGATGTTTGGCTTCACTGACCACGCACGATGGGAGGTAGAGGAAGATGAAAAAGATGGAAGTGACAATCCCCCATGTCACATGTGGAGGATCCTGCAGCAGCCAGGGCAGTGCAAGAACTCACTGACCAGCACCTGCCAGGGCATTTGAGGGCAGGAGAGCAGTGCTCCAGATAGGAGCAGCCCAATCACAGGGACAGGAGCAGTCCCCAGGAAGGAACACCAGAAAAGCAGCAGCAGAGGGACAGCCAAGTACAGCAGAAGTATCTCACCACCTCAAAGTGCTTCAGAGCAGGTCAGTGTTTTCCAAGGAGAACTACACTGTTTGCCTCAGGAGCCTGCTGTCAGTGGAAGGATCACTTGGAAAAAGGATACTTGGGGGACTAAGGGGTAGAAATCTCTTCCAGACTTAATAGCTGAAGACCACAAGTACCAAGACCAGGGGGAAGAAGCTCTTTCTCAGGAGCATCTGCTCTTCAGTCCAGCTTCAGTGCTATGGGCGTATGGCAAAGGCAGCAGCTCAGTTCAGAGAGGGAGAGAAATCCTCGTTCCTGGTGGCTGTGACACCAAGGGGTGAACACAATGGCAAGGACATGTCTCTCCCAACAGCAGGCAGCTTCCCAGATCTGGCAGCTGCCCGCCTACCTCCCACCTCTGACGGGGCCCTGGCCTCTGAGGCAAGCTGGGGACAGCTCAGTCCTCAGGGACACAGCTGGGTTAGCCTCTCCTTGAGCAAAACAACTGTGTTTGGCTCTTCCTCCACCGAGAACTGGGAGAAAAAAAAAAAACTCACAGCCCTTCCTGCCATCTGGAGAGCCAGCCAGCACAAGCCAAAACATGTGTGCCATATGCAGGCAGCTGTGGAGCGCCGGGACGCCGCCGTCAGCCCATCTGTCCGCTGTGCTTGCTGTGTGCCAGGCGCCTGCCCTCGGGTGGGCTGCTGAGACAGGGAGAGTGTCCTGCAGAGAGGCATGACTTCCCTTTCCTGCTCCACCTCCTCCTCAGCAAGCAGGGATGGGCTCCCTGCAGCGTGGCCGTGGTGGGTCTGATCCTGCAGGCAATGGGGTTTTACCTCACGTGTGCCAGTGAGGATGGGTGTCTCCACTCGTGCATCCAGCAGGGACAGGGATGACAGCACCTGTGGGTGTTGGGTACCAGAGGCTGAGGAAGGCTCCTGCTTCCAGCAGCTCCACTCACAGCACCTGACCCCCAGGCAAAGGAGCGTGGGGCCAGGGTGGGCTGTGTGCAAGCACGGCGCAATCCCCTGCTCCTCACCGCCTGTCTGCAGGGACGGATCAGTTTCAGTGCCTCAGGAAAAGCCTCCCAGCTGCTTAAGAGCCTGATATGTGATGACAAGGAGGGGACGGAGGGCTCACCAAGGAACAAGAGGGGAGGCCTGCAGCAGACAGCACACAGGGATTGCCTCTCTCAAGGGGCTGAAGGCCCTTGGTATGCCCTGGGAAGCTGGTGCTGCCCTGAGAAAGCTTCCCTGCTGCGTGTACCTCCACCAGGGCATCTCCATAGCCCTGCTGCCCACCTGCTGGCCAAGGTGTGACAGAAAGGAACCTCCTGTCTCCTGATCTGAGCAGCACCCCAGAAACCCGTCTGCCGTGAGGGCTGCGGATGCCGTGAGTGCCAAGGCAGTGCCGTGCGTGTGTGCAATGAAGCTGGCTGTCACCTGATGTCACCGACGGCACCAGGCGTGCCGCTGGCAGCCCAACAAGAAATGAATACAAATGTCATCCAATGATGGTCGGGACAGCCAGCCCACCCCTCAGCAAATTGCTAGGAAAACCTCGTGGCAAACATTTCCCAGAGAATGATTTCTTTCTCTCTGCAGATTGAGCACAGCTCTGCCAGTTTGCTCCTGTGCTGACCCTAGAGACCGGCTTTCACGGGAGGAGGGGACAGCAGCTTGTTCTCCAGGCTCTTTGGGCTCCCAGCTGAGTCCATGGCTGAAGTGATTTATAGAGACAGGGCCAAGGCCAGGAATCTGAGGCTTTTCAAGAGTTGCCCATTTCCCAAAAGAGTGCGGCTTTAATTTGTTGCCTGCCCGACTTGTGCTTGAGGCTCAGCCTAGAACAAGATTGCCAGTGATTTGGGAAATCAGTGCTACTTCCCCTTGCGGTTTTGGTGGTGTAGATGTCTGTCCATGGAGAATCAGACTGACACTTCCAGGCGTGTTACACACAGTCACCAAACAACTGAAATATGGAAGCAGCTCACAGAAACAAAATATATCAAGTCTGGAGTTTGCACAGACAAGGGGTGGCCTCTCAGCACCGGGGTACAGCACCCAGCACACACTGGATTACTGGGATTATAAAAGGAGCAGTGAGATCCCACCACTGCACAGTGATCAAAAATGCTCTAAGTTTAGTTGTTCACCAGCAATTCTCTCCTGACACACAGCCCTGGTCTCAGCCCCTGAAATCTGTTTGTCAAAGTAGATGATGGGAAAGGATTAACTCTTGGGGTGCAGCTACCCAGGACACAGCAGTCATTGAGAACTCCAGGCAGCATGCTGAAGATAGGAACAAGCAGATTTCCTCTCAGCAGGAGAGAGCATTGAGTCCTAAAGTGAGCACACTTGGGGAATGGCTCAGATTAGTAATGTCCAGAAGATGGTAGGGAAAAGCCTGTGTGTGTGAGCTCCCCTGCAAGCAGAGCACGCTGCTCCCACCAGGCTGGAGGGACCATCCTGGGAGAGGTGATGCTGAACACCTCTCACAGTCAGCCTCATCTGCAACTTACCACACTCTGAGTGAGCCTTGTGCATCTCCTCCTTCCTGCACACCAGGAACAGTCCCATCAACATTTAACAGAAAGGCAGCACAGCTGGGCTTGCACAATGTGACAGCACATCTTTGTTTGTCACTGCACTCTACACAGTGCCTACATGCAGAGAAGGCTGAGTACAGGGGCCAGGGCACTGATTTATCCTCGTGCAAAAGATACAAGAGCCTTGTGGCTTCTATACATCTCTTCTCATCCTGGGGAGGTAATGGAAGGATTTTGACCAAAACCTTTCATTTACCTTTCAAAAGTGCCACCCTGACACTGTGAACATATCCTTTACAGACAACCATGAGGATTTTCAAGTCCTCTCAGCAAGAAAGCCCAGCACCAGACACATTTCAAACACACACGACAGTAAGAAACATGGGAAGCTAACTGGCAGAGGACCTCAGCTCAGCTTGGCTATCCCTAGCACACAGGGCACAGAGAACATTTCACAGGCTGCTCCAGGGGCTCTGAGGGATCAGGCACCCTGCACCAAAGTCAACAGGAGCACGGTGCTGTCCAAATTCCCGGTGATCCCTTTGGGGGAGCTCACCGAGCTGGACAGCTGGCAAGTACACGTGCTTTAGGTACAGGAGCATCACCCCAGCTCCCAGCTTGACCAAGTGCCTCTCTACACGCTCTGCTCTCCCTCGGAGGGATTTATCGGGTTTGCTTTATTTTTCGCTCTCTACACCACTCTCCCTCCGGGAGAGGAAAAAAAAAAAGTCCAAAACTTTCTAACTGCAAGCAAATTAAAAGCCCTTATTTTTTATCTTGAGTGTTAGCACAGTTCTAGGGTTGGTACTTCCAGGCATTTTGAACCGACTTCCCCTCCTGTCAGGCGGCCACTCTGCTCCTGCCCTTCACTTCCCCTGGCCCCGGGGCAGCGCGGGCGCTCCCCGCACACCCCGCGGGGTCCCGGCGGGCAGAGCCCGGGCCGGGCTGGCGGAGCGCTGCCCGGAGCGCCCCGCCGGCACTGCGGGGCCGGGCGGAGCGGTGCCCGGGCGGCGGCAGGTACCTGCTTGCGCAGCGCCTCGAAGGCGGCGCTGATGGTGTGGACGCGGGTCCTCTCCCGGGCGTTGGCCAGCAGCCGCCGCGTCTGCTGCAGCGCTTTGATCTCGGGCGAGACGCCGGACGCCTCGCCCGGCCGCGGGCGCGGGGAAGCGGCGGGCGGCGGCGGCGGGGCGGCGGGGAAGGCGCTGTTGGCGGCGGCGGCGGCGGGGCCGAGCGCGGCGCTGCGCGGCTCCCAGGCGGGCGGCGGGGCGGCGGCGGCGGCGGCGGGGGGCGGCGCGGGGGGGGCGCGGAGCCCGGTCCGCCGCCCGCTCAGCACTTTGAGCTCCACGCGGAAACTTTTGCAGCCGCCGTGCTTGCGCCGCAGCCGCCGCAGCCCCCCGAGCTCGGCGGGGCACAGGCGCGGCCAGGGCTCGCCCTCGGCCAGCGGCGCGCTCCGCATGGCGCGGGGCGCTGCGCGGCGAAGCTCAGCCGCGGCCGCTCCGCCGCTGCTGCTGCTGCTGCTGCTGCGCCGCTCCCGATGCTGCCGCTGCTGCCGCCGCCCCGCTGCCGCCCATCTGCGCCCGCCCGGCCGCGGCGGGCAGCGGAGCCCCGGCTCCGTCCGTCCGTGCTCCGAGCCGTGCGCCCGGCCGCAGCTCCGCGCAGCTCCCCGCAGCCCGCCTGCCTCCCGCCGCCGGCAGCCGGCCGCCGCGCAGATGAGCGGCTTTAAAGAAACAGGAAGGCTGGCCTTTTTTTTTTTTTTTTTTTTTTTTCTTCCCAAAACAGCTGTGCTGCCAATCTCCTTTGTTCATCCCCCCCTACCCCCCCCTTTCCCTTCCCTCTCCTCCCACCCCACTCCCACTTTCTTCTTTAATCTCGCTCTTCCATGCGATGGTAGAGAAATCCTGCCCCCCGGAGACTCGCCGCGACCCACCGTGTGCGCTTCTCCCCCAGCCCCCTGCTTTGCTTCCCCAGGGAAATCTGGGATTTGCTTTGGTTTCCAACCCGCTTCATTCCGCTTCTCCTCCCTTATCACTGGTTTTCCGCATCAAAACCCTCATCTGCGAGGCATGGGGTGCCTGACTTCACGTCGCCTTCCTGAATGTGCCCGGGAGCACAGCGGGCACCCCGGCGGGATGGGAAACTGGGGGAGATCCGGAGCTTTTCACACACGCATCCCTCCCGCCGCTCGCGGAATCCTCCGGTCGCTGCTCCGCCACCGACTCGGACCCGCTAGGAAGAATTATTCCGCAGCAACAGTCTGCCCTGCTTTTCACAGGGCTAACAAGGGAGTCTGCACTCGTGGGTCACTGCCGCCAGCTTTGGGCTGCCTTCTGCTGGCACCCCAAAACCCCTCAATTCCCCTCACCTCAGCCTTGGGGGGCCAGGGGTCTCTGCAGAGTGGGCAGACAGAGTGGGAGGGAGGGATGGAGAGGTGCAGTTCACAGTCAGAGCTGTGGTACAGCCGAGAATAAACTGCATTTATCGGGATTGTAGGAAAATTTTGAGGTGGAAGGGACTTCAGGAGATCCTTTGTAACGTTTAAAAGTATCTCTGTTATTGAGGCATCTGGCTTTTCAAGTCATCTAAACCCCTTAGACATTAAGTTGTACTGAGAATCAATGGGATGCAAGTGTGAGATGCTTGAATTCACAGCACTGAAAGGGATGTTGGTTCCTTACCCTCCTCCTCCTCCTCTTCCTCCCATGGTATGTCAACCTAGCAGCCCTCAGCACTGTGTGGGGTGAGGAGAAGGAGCTTCCATTGACCTCCTGTAGGTCTGTGATGCAACACAAGCGCTGCCTGATGACTAATTTCCTCTTGCTACTGTGGCCAGGCTGCCCTGGAGCAAACATTGGAAGGGTTTCCTCATGTGGAGAAAGCAGAGGTTGTGGAGAAAGTACTGGAGAAGATGTGCAGAGTGCTGGTTCAGCACCGTATCTGTGACAGCGGTGCTGCCTCCTCCATTGCATCCCATGTCCCAAGTGTCACTGCAGTTTGATTTTCCCTTCCAGAAGGGCTTCAGGTGAGTCAGTTGAACTCAGAAGTGCCTGACTTCCCAGCGTGGGTAGCAGCACCCCCCTGCCTTGTGGTGGTGCTGGCAAACCGCCCTGATGTCCTCAGCTAGAGCCTGTGAATTATTGCTGCTAATGCTAGGGCATGCCTTAATGACTATTTTCTCCATCTTTCATCTTAGTTCCTCTAACTCTCAAAGCTGAGAGCCAGCAAAGGGATTTTCAGTTGACCGTGTTTCTCCCAAGCATCCCAGTGAGTGGCAGTAGCACCAGCCCCTCCAGCAGGGTCTATCCTTCAGTGGGAGCCTCTGTTAAACATTTGGGGGCTCTTCTCATGAGAGGAGGACCTTGGGCCAAAATTGCAGTCTCAGCCATTAAATTCTGCCTCCCTAAAATCCCCTCGCTCTTCCAGCTTGACTCCATGAACCAAATCCATCTGGGCAGTAAACAGATGAAGGCCATTAAAACCAAAGGCATTTGCAGCCATTTACACCATTTTTTCCCTCATTTTGCCCCTAAGGCATGTTTATCTTCTCAGTGCTGGTTATGTAGCTGCTCCCTTGGCGGTAGCTGCATTTCGGAGTGCTTCCAAGAAGAAACCTAAACCTGAGTGTCCCTAGTCACATAACCCCCTGTCAGACCTTCCCCTTCTCTCCTTTTAGTATCCCTGTGGTTATGGGTATCACAGGATGGCCGGGGTGGCCCAGCTCAGGGCTGAGTCACGCTGGGCCTCGTCCCTCCGCGTGCCCGCAGCCCGTCCCTGCCTGTGCCCATTCCCAGAGGGGACAGCAGTGACAGCTGCCAGCCCCAGGGCACAGACTGGACTGTGAGCACAAACCTGCTCCCACCCTGATCACCTCTCGGGATCTCTGCTGCTCACAGTCACCCCAAGATGTGTTAGAAAGTCTCTTTTCCCAGCCCGGCGGTTGAAGAAGGAGTCAGAGCTCTTCAGTTCTCGGTCTCAAGGTTGTTCATTGTTCCTTATCTATAAATTCTTTCTCCTGGCCTGCCAAGGTCCGCTCAGCAGGACAGTCAGAGGCACTCTGCCTGCCCTGGGGTGGTGTTGTCTTTTTATACTAAAAACTACATTTAGAGTAACTTCCCAATACCCATCACCTATGTTAGACAATGAGCTTCTACTCTAAACCAATCTAAAAGTGCCAACATCACAGCAGAAGATGGAGGCCAAGAAGCAGAAGGAGAAAGGCTGGACACGCCCAGATTCCTCCATCTTGGCCCCTGAACCCCCATTCTAAAAGCCCCAAAAAATCTATTTTTCACCCTGTGATAAATTCACTATCATTCTACTTAAACTTTCGTGGCTTGTAATTCTTCATATAAGGTTGGTAATTGTTTTTTCCAAGGCTAAATCAAAGGCACAGGGGTCTTGGGCTCTGTGCCAAGGTCTCTGAGCCCCCTGGGCAGGGGCTCCAGTCCTCCAGGGCAGCCAGAGAAATTTCCTGGGTTCCAACACTCACCTTCCTTTGTTAAAGCAGGGCAGTCTGGGGGGGGACTCTCTGTCACCATCCCGTTGGGTTACTCCTCTTTGCCTACACAGAGATTGAAACTGGAACTTGCTTGGGACTAGACTGAAGGGAGAGAGATTTAAACTGCAGTGAAAAAGCTTGTGCAACCTTTTCTACCAGCTTAAGTTGTTTAGATGAAGGTTTGCTCTTTCAGTTAGGCAAAGGTGAGTTTCCTGAAGAGCAAACCCATCCCTTCAGTGCATGCCATGGCAGCCCCCCACATGCAGTGGGGATGGGCAGTGATGCCTGAGCTCATCACCTGGCTTCTGGAAAACAAAGCATTGTGCCTGTGCTGGCATTGGAATTTGGGCTGGGAGCAGTGTGTCCTGGTGCAATGCCACCAGAGAAACATGGCTTTTGGGAGCAAATGCAAACAAATCTGCAGGTGGTGCTGCCTGCTCTGTGCCATATGGATGCAGCAGCTCATCCTGCTGCGTTGTGCCTACGTGCCAGAATGATGGCATGAGGTGAAGAGCAGATGGAGGGAATCACCTGTCTGTGGGGAAGTAATGCAGAGTGACAGGACCATGGCTGCGAGTTGTAGTGAACCTTTTGACCTCTCCTTTCTGCAGACCACATTATGTCAGCCTTGTCTGCACTCAGAGCTGTATCATTTTAGCAGTCCTGCCATGTCCTGTGGATCCATTTTTCACAGATATGGATAATGCAGGTACTTGCAGGACACAGACACGCTCCAGGGAAGGTTTCCTCTCTGGCACAGCCAAGCTGATGGTGCCACTGTCCTATCCCATTGCCCTTTCTCCTTCTTGCTGTACTCCCATTTCCTCCCTTTGCCAGCTCTGAGGTTCTCTGTGCTTGGCTGAGCAAAGATAGCCCAGCCCAGCCCTGTTTGATATGCCTGGCATTATTTGGTGTGGTGATGTGGCCATGGCTACACACTGGTGAGGTGAGAAAGGGGTTGCTCCTGTGCTTGGAGACCAACTGAGAAAATAACTTCAGCATAAGCACCAGCGTCACTTGTCATGCAACTCTGCTACCTTTGCCTTCAAGGGTAGATAAAGGACAAGAGGAAATGGCCTTGGATTACACCAGGGTAGATTTATATTGGATATGAAGAAAAATGTTGTGACCAAAAGGGTTGTCAGGCACTGGAAATAAGGAAATAAACCCTTTGCCAGTCCCTGTAAAGAACATAAGAGTCCTGGGTAAAAATCACTGGAGAAGTGGTAAGCTGTCCCCCCAGCATCCTGTGTCACTGAGCTAGTCATTCCTGGATTAACTCCACCCATACAGGGTCAAGCTCTCCCTCTCACTATGCCCTAAATCAGCCCCATACCCTAAATCAGACTCTGCCTTCTGCCACTGGGTGACACACCCTGTTGGGTGGCTCTCTGCCCTGATGAAAACTAATGCGGTTGTAAGAAATTACTGTGAAAACCCAGAATGTGTCTTCAGACAATATATATATATTTTAAAATAAATAAGTAGGAAGGAAAAGGAAATGGAAATAAGTGACTAGGTGGCAAGAATTAGTTGTAGGTGCAGTTGGGATGTTGGAAAGGCTTCTCTTCAGAGCCCAGGAAAGACATGCTGCAGGTGGGTGCCAGGGAGATGTCTCAAAAGCAGTGCCCAAGGGACAGGAAATTTTCCCCAGGAAGGCATCCTGAACATTCCTGGAGGATGATTCAGCTGGTGACAGCTTTGTACTTGTGAAAACCAGAACACACTCCAAACCCTGTGAAAAACCAGAGCTCTGCACTTGTTAAAAGGGAACATCTACTCTCATGTACAGTTTCCAACACCCTCCTTAGGCAAGAGGAATTATTTTAAAATGCTGTTGAAGAGCAAAAGCAGAAGTCTGATTGCAAGTGGCATGTTGAAGATATCAATGTAAAGTTGAATCATCAAAGTGAGGCTGAGATGCAGCCTTAATCCTTCTTCTTTTAATGTTTAAATCTGTG